TTACGAGCTGCGCGTGCGAGCGCACACGCGCCGCGGCCCGGGTCCCTTCTCACCCCCGCTGCGCTACAGTCTCGCGCGGGACCCAGGTAGGCGCCGCCCCGGCCCCGGCTCGCCCCTCCCCGCAGGTAAGTCTCGGCCTCCACGGACTCAGCCCAGGCGCCCGAGGCTCCGGTCTGCACAGGTGGGATGCGGCTCGGCGGCCACACCCTGGAGGCCACGCCCCTCCCGCTTCTCTCCGCAGTGGCGTCGTCCTTGCAGCAGCAGGCACTGGGGACAGGGCAGGCAGGGCCGGGCCAGGCAGGAAGGCCGAGGGCACAGCGCACCGCAGGGACGACAGGGGCCGCCCCAAGGGCCCCTCGGCTCTGACTCAGCGCTTACCTGGACTCTCTTCTTTCTCTCCCCGCTTGCCGCGGCCTGCAGTCTCCCCCAAGAACTTCAGGGTGAAAATGATAATGAAGACATCAGTGCTGTTGAGCTGGGAGTTCCCTGACAACTACAACTCGCCCACGCCCTATAAGGTACCACAGTGAGAGCAGGGCGGGAGACACCCGGGCTCTGGCCGGAATCAGCTGGCAAAGGCCAACCGAGGTCGGGATTCGACATCCGGTCTAAGATCAGGAGTCACCTTTAAGTTTGAGGTTGGGTTAAGGAAGAGTCTGGGACCTGAGCAGTTTTGAGACTGAAGAGGATCAGTCAGTGTTGGGCCTCTGCCTGGGATCGAGGGTCAGTCGGTGATAGGGCTCACGTCAGGTTGAAACTCAGTCCAGAAGCTCAGCTGGCCTGCAGCCAGGATTTCTTGTGGGGTTGAGGCCCAGCCAGGGTTGGGGCTTAGCATTAGAGATGGCCTGGAACAATTGGGTTGGCCCTCAGACTGGCTTCAGGGCTTAGCAGATATGGCAGTTTGGCCCTCGATCAAGGCTTAGTTGGATGTGAAGTTCAGTATAGGACCAGAGCTCAGTCAGGTTTGGGAGGGTGTCAGCACTCTGCCTGGGTTCTCAGGACAGTCAACCTGAGCTCATGGTGAGCATTCTGAGGTTGCGACTCCACTGGGGTCAACAGGCTATGAGCTAGCTGCCCCCACGCTGAGCCAGCCCCACCCACAGATCCAGTACAACGGGCTCACACTGGATGTGGATGGCCGCACCACCAAGAAGCTGATCACACACCTCAAGCCCCACACCTTCTATAACTTCGTGCTCACCAACCGTGGCAGCAGCTTGGGTGGCCTGCAGCAGACGGTCACTGCCAGGACCGCCTTCAACATGCTCAGTGGCAAACCTAGTGTCGCCCCAAAGCCCGACAATGACGGCTTCATCGTGGTCTACCTGCCCGACGGCCAGAGCCCTGTGACCGTGCAGTACGCCTCCCTTCCTCGCATGACCCGGTCCTTTGCTGTCCCCACACAGGCTCTGCCTTGGTTTTCTCCCTTACCGAGATGACAAGGGTCCATGAGCCTGCCCCTGGCACTGTCCCCCACAGTGCAATCTTAGCACCTCTGTGAGGTTTTGATTCTGTTCTTTTGGGCTGATGGGAGCCTGACTAGGAGCCCCCAGGGAGGAAGTGCTCCTGGGAGCAGGGAAAAAGGATTTAAGAGCATATGGGCACTCAGACTTGGACTTTGAGGGGTACACAAGAGTTCGAGAACTAGAACACCATGAAGTTAGCAGAAGGCATGTGACCCTGAACTGGGATGTGGAGTCGTGGGGGCTACGTGGGCAAGGGACACATACCTCCAAACTTCCTCCACAGGAGCTACTTCATTGTGATGGTCCCGTTGCGCAAGTCTCGCGGCGGCCAGTTCCCGATCCTGATGGGTAGTCCAGAGGACATGGATCTGGAAGAGGTGAGGCCAGCGCTCCCCTCTCCCAGGCCTGCTCACAACCAGACTGTGGTGCACACTGACCCTGGGAGCACTGAGCCGACATGCCACTGTCTCCACAGCTCATCCAGGACATCTCCCGGCTGCAGAGGCGCAGCCTGCGCCACTCACGCCAGCTGGAAGTGCCCCGGCCCTACATTGCAGCCCGTTTCTCCATCCTGCCAGCTGTCTTCCATCCAGGGAACCAGAAGCAATATGGCGGCTTTGACAACCGCGGCTTGGAGCCAGGTCACCGCTATGTCCTCTTTGTGCTGGCTGTGTTGCAGAAGAATGAGCCTGTAAGTCCTCCGTGGTGCCTGCCCACATTCCAGTTAGGCTTCCCCACCAACCTGGAAATAGGTGTGGGAATGGGGGCACAGAGGACTTTGGCTTGCGCCCATCACTCCACTAAGCTGATGGACAAGGGGACCTCTCAGTGAGGTTGACCTAAATTGATCCCTGAAGCCAAGCATAGACCTCATCAGCTCCCAATTGGTCAGTTCTGGAAAGAGGGAGGGACTTGGCAGAGGGGGACCCAAGGGCTTATCCTTTAGAGAGAAGGACCCTGGGAGCAGGGGCTTTGAAGGATGAGTAAGAGCACTTCAGAAAAGGTATCCCATCATTCCCCATCACTCGTGGGCTCCAGAGAAGCAGAGGGAGTCAGGGAGGCACCAGTGTGTGTCCAGCCCTGATGGCAGCCCCTCCTGTCGCTCTCCTGCAGACATTTGCAGCCAGTCCCTTCTCAGACCCATTCCAGCTGGACAACCCCGACCCCCAGCCCATCGTGGACGGTGAGGAAGGTCTCATCTGGGTGATCGGGCCCGTGCTGGCCGTGGTCTTCATCATTTGCATCGTGATTGCCATCCTGCTGTACAAGAAGTGAGCCTTGTGGCTGGTGGGGGGGGGGCAGGGGCCTCGCAGGCAGCGTGAGGGGCGGGACCACTACACATCCCACAGGTGAGGGCCCACCACACCTTCCCCGGAGGGCTGTGGTGAGCCTCGGAGTGGGGTCCAGACATGAATGACAAGCCCTTACTTGCCAGAGACTGAGGGTCAGCAGGGTCGCAAAGCCACTGTAGTCACAGCAGGGCACGCTCTCACGTGATCTTCTCTTCTCTTCTTTCACCTCATCCGGCCTGCGGACAGCAAACCTGACAGGTGAGGACCAGTCTGAGGCAGGTGGGCAACGGTGGGAGGAACTGGGCTCAGTCCTGATTGGAGCCCCAGATGGAATCAGCCATCATCTGGGATTGAGGCTCTGTCTGCATTTGGAGCTTTGTTAGACCAAGGTTAAGGCTCAGTGTGGGATCAAGGTTAGTGTTGAGTCTCACACCGCTGGGCGTGTGCTGACCCTGGGCCGTCTGTCCCACTCACTCTCCATGAAGTAAACGCAAGGACTCTGAGCCCCGCACCAAATGCCTGCTGAACAACGCCGACCTCGCCCCTCATCACCCCAAGGACCCTGTGGAAATGCGGCGAATCAACTTCCAGACGCCAGGTGTGTGCTGGCCCTGGGGCCGGGGCGGCTTGGTGGGGCCACTGTGACTGGGCCTCCTGCACCCCAAGAACGAGCCGGGCTCTCATCACCAAGCGAGGTCAGTTACGTGGCGGCCTAAAAAGTCAGAAGAAAACAGTGGATTGGACAGGAGAGCCGCAGTTTTGTGCCCCCACCCTCGGGTAGGGTTACAAGGATTATCCTGGCCATTTCCCACACAGGCCTTTGGCGGTGTCCTCGCACCTGCCGAGCCCTGAGTGTCCCTCTGTGGCCTCAGACTTCTGCAGGCCTCATCATCAGCTGCACCCCCCCCCCGCCCCTAGCTAGGGTTCCTCTGTGTAACAGTCCTGGCTGTCCTGGAACTTGCTGTGTAGACCAGGCGACCGTGAACGCATTGATCCACTGCCTCTGCCTCCGAGTGCTTGGGTTAAGGGCAGGCGCCACCACTGCCCTGTGAACACACACTCACACACACACGCTCTCTTTCTTGCTCCCCACCATTATGAACTCCAGCCAGCAAGGGTTTTGAGTTTGAGTCTAACTGACATCTGCTGTGTTCTTCCAAGTGCCCAGAGTCTCACATCACCCTAAAGTCCAATTCTGAGCTAGTTCATAGCAGACATTCGGACTCTAGTGAGAATCCCCGAAAGCTCCTGACAAGGCCCGCGTGTAGCTCCCTTACCCTCGGCATCTACCGTCCCTCCAGGTCCCTTCTCCATAGGGGCCCCACCAGGTCGGTGTAGGAAGGGGTACACAACCACGCAGGGACCCCACCAGGTCAGTGTGAGGAAGGGGTACACAACCACGCAGGGACCCCATCAGGTCGGTGTGAAGAAGGGGGTACACAACCACGCAGGGACCCCACCAGGTCGATGTAAAGAAGGGGTACACACCCACGCAGGATCAAAGCTGAAAGAAGAGCTCTCCTGGCCGGCACTGGCAGGGCCTGGACTGCAGATTGGAGGCGCCAGATCCCGCCTCCTTCAGGACACAGGAAACCAGGGACAGCCCAGCACGTGCACATAACACAGTGTGCTCTTCTGGAGGGCTGCTCGACCCCTCTGGTCAGGGAGGGCAACACCTAGGCATCATGTTTCAGCTGCACCAGCTGCCTTTGCTTCTCTGTCTCTGCCCCAAGACATTGGGACCTTGGAGCCCTGGGCAGTGTGGGGACCAGGACATTATCTTCCAGCTGGGCAGCAGGGGCACCACCCCCATCTTGCCCACTTGTCAAGTCCTCTAACCACAGTGCCTGTATCCACTGACCCTCAACCCGCCCATCTCCCCACAGGCATGCTCAGCCACCCACCCATCCCCATCGCAGACATGGCTGAGCACATGGAGAGACTTAAAGCCAACGACAGCCTGAAGCTCTCGCAAGAGTACGAGGTGAGCTGGGGTTACAGCAGGGCCTCCCTGACCTATGCCCCAGCACCCCAACCCTGCCAATCCTGAGCCTGCCCTCTTCCTGCAGTCCATCGACCCCGGGCAGCAGTTCACCTGGGAACATTCAAACCTGGAGGCCAACAAGCCAAAGAACCGCTACGCCAACGTCATCGCCTACGACCACTCACGTGTCATCCTGCAGCCGCTTGAAGGTGGGGGAGGGGGCTGCACATGTATGATGGTCTCTGCTCAGCCTGTGTCAGCCTCTGTCCTCTCAGGGTTGTCAACGTTGTGGGGGAGGGTGCCATAGTGACAGGCGTGTGGCAAACAGTGCATCGGGGGAGAGGGTGAGTTGGGCAGCCCCCACAAAGCTGTTCCTGGCACCCTGCCCGGCTGCAGGCATCGTGGGTAGTGATTACATCAACGCCAACTATGTGGACGGCTACCGTCGGCAGAATGCGTACATCGCCACACAGGGGCCCCTGCCTGAGACCTTTGGGGACTTCTGGCGGATGGTGTGGGAGCAGCGGTCAGCCACTGTGGTCATGATGACGCGGCTGGAGGAGAAGTCACGGGTGAGGACCACAGGCAGCACCTGCCCACGGCACCCAGGGCACTGGCCGCCCTTCCTCACCCACCTCCCCTCATCACCTGCCCACGGCACCCAGGGCACTGGCCGCCCTTCCTCACCCACCTCCCCTCATCCCAACACAGATCAAATGTGACCAGTACTGGCCTAACCGAGGTACAGAAACTTACGGCTTCATCCAGGTCACCCTGCTGGACACCATGGAGCTGGCCACCTTCTGCGTCAGGACCTTTTCCCTACACAAGGTACAGCCTGGGTAGGAGAGGCGTCGCACAGAAAGATGAGTGTGTCCCAGGCTGACAACATTCCCACCGCCACAGCGGGACAAGGCCAGGCTTGGCTTGGAAGTGTGGTGTGCCCTGCCTGCCTCTGAGCTGATTGGGTTCTGCCACCCACGAGTCCTGTCCTGATGGGAAAGGACACAGTCATCTCTCTATCCATGCACATCTTAAATGATGGCCACCCTTGGTGTGTAGCAGAATCCACTCAGTTCATTTGTTGTAACAGGGCGCAGTGTACTGCGTGTTTGTGTGGCAGGAAGGAGCACCATGGGCCACCAGGGCTGCCCATCACCAGCGTTCTTCCCCCTCTATAATGGGTGTGGCTGTAGAGCACGGAAAGGGACGACTGTCGTGTCGTGTCGTGGGAGGGCTGCAGGTCTGGGCGTCCCAGCAATGGAGAAACGTGAGGGTGGGCAGGATCTGGCAGGGCTGAGCTGCAGAGGGGACACGGGCTTGCTTTGACTCTGAGGGGAAGGGGGATATGGAAGGGCTATGCTCAGGGAGCTGCAGGCCCTGGGAGCAGGACAGGGACTCCTGGAGTTAGCACGGAGTTAGTGCGTTTTGGGGCGAGGGAGGGAATTGGGGGGAGCTGAGTTACCCCAGGCTGTGGTCAGTGTGATGTGGGCACAGTGGGAAGTATGGATTGAGGTGTTCTGGGGTGCACTTGACCCACGGTGACAGATTGCTTTCCCTCTGTTCCAGAATGGCTCGAGCGAGAAGCGTGAGGTGCGCCATTTCCAATTCACAGCATGGCCGGACCACGGGGTGCCCGAGTACCCCACTCCCTTCCTGGCATTCCTGCGCAGAGTCAAGACCTGCAACCCACCTGATGCCGGCCCCATTGTGGTCCACTGCAGGTGTGCACAGTGCAGCCCCGGCTTATCCCCTGCCCGGCTTGCCCTGTCCTGCCCTGTGTCCTGACCGTGGCATCTGTTCCCACAGTGCTGGCGTGGGCCGCACTGGCTGCTTCATCGTCATCGACGCCATGCTGGAGCGCATTAAGACCGAGAAGACAGTGGACGTGTATGGGCATGTGACGCTCATGCGGTCGCAGCGCAACTACATGGTGCAGACAGAGGATCAGTACAGCTTCATCCACGAAGCTCTGCTGGAGGCCGTGGGCTGCGGCAACACCGAGGTCCCCGCGCGCAGCCTCTACACCTACATACAGAAGCTGGCCCAGGTGGAGCCTGGAGAGCATGTCACAGGCATGGAGCTGGAGTTCAAGGTGACTGCACATGGGCCAGGCCCCAGGACCCACGGGTGTGCCTGAGAACTGACTCCCTTAAGTTGCCCTCTGACCTCTTCATTCACCTAATACATACAGTCAATAAGGTGGGGTCCCCCCTGCGGCTCCCTCACTGTGGTCCTGACCACCCTGCCTCTGGTCCCCACAGAGGCTCGCCAGCTCCAAGGCACACACTTCGCGCTTCGTCACCGCCAGCCTGCCTTGCAACAAGTTTAAGAACCGCCTGGTGAACATCCTGCCATACGAGAGCTCGCGCGTGTGCCTGCAGCCCATCCGCGGCGTCGAGGGCTCTGACTACATCAATGCCAGCTTCATTGACGGCTACAGGTGCGCTGGGGCCTCCAGGGGCCGCCTCTTCACCCCCATCCCGGCCTTCGCCTCCTCCTCACCCCCACCTCCGTTCTCACCCCCGTCCTTGCCCCTGCCCTCAGCCTGTGTTGCCTGGCTTTGATTTTCAGTTTTTTTGGTTGTGTGCTGCATCTTTTCCTAGGCACGTTCTTTAATGAGCGGGGCATCTGAAACTCCCCAAGTAGGTTCTACAGGCTGCCTTAGTTACTGTCCTGTTTTGCTGTGACGAATGCCGGGGCAGTTTGAAGAAGAAAGTTTATTTGGGGCTCAGGGTTCTGGGACTCAGTCCATCGTGCGTGCGGCAAGCAGGCAGGCAGGCAGGATGCTGGAGTAGCCGAGAGCTCACATCTTAATTGCAAATGAGAGGCAGAGAGAGCCCTGGGCCCCTGAACCCTCAGAACACAGCTCCACGACATGCACTCTTTCCCTGCAGTGCATCTGTTGGGGACCTGAGCCTGTGGGGCTGCTGTTGCTCAGACACCACAGTGACTGAGCGGTGACCACCAGGACGGTTTGTCGCCATGTCCCAGAACCGAGGACTGAACTCAGGTCCTCACACGCTCAGCCAGCTCTCTGCCCACTGAGCCACCTCCGTGGCCCCAGACCTGGCCTGGTCATTACAGGAGTTAGAACCCAGAGTCCCCTCAGTGACACTGAGCTGAAGTCTGACCTGAAGCTGAGATGGTTCGGTGGTTGGAGCTCTGGCTGCTCGTCCAGATGGCCCTGGTCTGGCCGCTAGCACCCATGGCTCCACGGAGTCTGTAGTTCCGAGAAGTGGCGCCCTGGCTGGGGTGAGGGACCGCTGTCGCTGTCGGCACAGCTGAGTGTGTCTGATGGCTTTGGAGAGTGGACAGAGGACGTGTGTCTCGCAGTATGCCTCTCTTGGAGGCTGACCCCACGCTTGCCGCCCTCACCCCCAGACAGCAGAAAGCCTACATTGCGACGCAGGGGCCGCTGGCGGAGACCACGGAGGACTTCTGGCGCGCCCTGTGGGAGAACAACTCCACCATTGTCGTGATGCTTACCAAGCTCCGGGAGATGGGCCGGGTGAGTGTGCCTGGGGCCACCAGGGAGGTCCCTGCAGGACCATGCCACTGACCCTGCCCTTGGCTCCACAGGAGAAATGCCACCAGTACTGGCCCGCCGAGCGCTCTGCCCGCTACCAGTACTTCGTGGTGGACCCGATGGCAGAGTACAACATGCCGCAGTACATTCTCCGCGAGTTCAAGGTCACGGATGCCCGGGTGAGTAGGGCATAGCAGAGGCTGGAGCAGTGTTCAGGAGGAGTCTTCACCAGGGTGGGAGCAGCTTGGCACAGCTTGGCACTGCTGGGAGCTCTTGTGGATTTTAGTGATCACCATCAGCTTTGGGGGTTGTGCGGGCAGCTGGCCACAGAAGGTGGCATCTTGGACATTGATAACCAAGGCTCTCATGGCAATGATCACATTGTCCGTGTGGAAGACACTGTTAGATGCAGAAGGGGTTTGTGAATGGTTATCCCTTCCAGGATGGCCAGTCCCGGACCGTCCGACAGTTCCAGTTCACGGACTGGCCCGAGCAGGGCGCGCCCAAGTCAGGCGAAGGCTTCATCGACTTCATCGGCCAAGTGCATAAGACCAAGGAGCAGTTCGGCCAGGACGGGCCCATCTCGGTGCACTGCAGGTGAGTGCACAGAGGAGCTCAGGTGGGGGGTCTGGGCAGCCAGCACCCATGTGACTGCCATCCGCTTCCACTGCAGCGCTGGAGTGGGCAGGACAGGCGTGTTCATCACCCTGAGCATTGTGCTGGAACGGATGCGGTATGAGGGTGTGGTGGACATTTTCCAGACAGTGAAGGTGCTGCGAACCCAGAGGCCCGCCATGGTGCAGACGGAGGTATGGGGCCATGCCTGAGACGTCCCTGCATGCCATGCCTCCTTTCCTCTGCTCCCCTCAGGCCTGCTCCACAGCCCTGCAGACTTGGGGTTGGTCGGGTGTCTGCCTCTGGGTCACAGATCTTAAATCTAGTGATATTTGTGTACAACTGGGGAAACTGAGGCCTGTACCAGGCTTTTTATGGGGGGAGTCACCAGCCAGCTCCCAAATCTTGACACAGAGACTTAATATTAGTCATGAATGCTAGGCCTTATTTTCATTTCTTGCTCTTACAGCTTAACCTGTTTCTCTGCATCTTTGTTTTGCCTGGGGGCTGCTACCTTTCTTCTGTGTTCTTTCCTTGCTTCTCAGTCCAGCTGGCTGGTTAACCACCTGGCTTCTGGCCCTGGGCATGTCCCTCTCTTTCTCTTTCCTTCTCTTCCTCTGTCCCCTCCATCCCCCACCAACCAGCCAGTCCCACCTATCCCTCTCCTGCCCAGCTTTTTATCAGACCAATCAGGTGCCTTAGGTCAACAAGGTGAAACATATGCAACACATGTTTGCATAATTAAAGTCAGCAGGAACACATGTGACACGCCTTGACACAGTTAACAAAAGCAGCGGGAACACATGTGACCTTCTTCTTCATATAACTAAAGTAACACCCACAGCAGAGGCCAGGGGAGGATGAGGCTGCAGGCCTTGGGGAGGACCCTGCTGCTGCTCGGGGAACCCTGTGTCTCTGGAGCAGGTGCCTCAGTTTCTCCTCTGCCCCGCAGGACGAGTACCAGTTCTGCTTCCAGGCGGCGCTGGAATACCTGGGCAGCTTTGACCATTATGCAACATAAGCCATGGGCCCTGCCCGACGCCAGACCCTGTGCAATGCGCCCAGAAGTGACCCAGGCCCCGCAGGGCACGAGGAGGCCCGGCGTTGCGGGGCCCAGCCGCTGCCTTCCGAACTCGGCACAAACGAGGTTCCAGGGTGGGGGGTGGGGGAGAGAGCGAAGAGGGTGCGGCTGCTGCTCCCCACTGCCGGCAGCTCTGCCCCATGCTCCCTGCCTGCCTGGCGGGGACTTTTCTTTCTTTCTTTCTTTTTAATAGTGTTTTTTTTTTCTTTTTCTTTTTTTTTTAAGAAGAAACAAAATCAATCGTGCCGGTCAAAACTTTGAAAAACAAACAAGATCGCCATGTATGCCTCCATGGGAGGCCTATTTTTTCAGTCAGCTTGTCGTGTGGCAGTTACGTGCGAGCGTGGGACTGAGCCCGCGATGTGTCCCTCGTCCCCGTGTGAGTGACACACTCTTAGTTCTTGTTTTCCTTTTTTTTTTTTTTTAAATCAATCTTCAGACATATCAGATACGGAGGGTGAAGCTGGGGGCACTCGGGCCACCGAGGACACTGGTCTAGCCCCAGCCGCCAGGAGTATCCTCGCCCACTCGTGGCTCCGTGCCCTGCATGGAGGACCTGGTCCCTAGAACTGCAGGACACTTGGGGGCATTCGACCCCCCGGAGCAACTGTAGAGCGGGTCAGCTCTGCCCACGCCAGTTTTTTGGGCAGAAGCAGTGGGCGCCGCCCCTGTATGTAGATAAACCGACTTTGTATTAAAGGAAGATTCGTCCGACCTCAGTGTGGATTGGTCCTTGATGCTGCCAGGGAGGGATGGGGCGTGATGTCCTCTGAGGTCACAGCACTGAGGAAAGGGCTTAGCGGGTAAAGGGCCGTGGAAGAATACAAGAACCTTTGTTCGAATCCCAGCACCCGCATTAAGACCCAGGCGTAGTGGCAAATGTAGGTCATCTAGCACTCGGGAGGTGGAGATAGTGTTTGGGGGCTCACCAGCCAGCCACGCAGGCTGCTGAGAGGCTGGGGAAGGGAAGGGAGAACACTGAAGAATAACTGGGACAAGTCCTGAGTTTGAAAGTAGAGAAAACAGCCAAGGAAGGTGAGAGACTTAAGCCTGGCCCTCTGGAATGTTCTATAATCTGACCAACAGGTTTATGAAGCCTAAGCAACTCCGACCCAGTTCCCAAAGCCCACTACTAAAGCCCTCTAAGAAGGATCTCTTATTTTTCCCTGCGCAGGCTGTCTGAGCCTCGAGGGTGCTGACCTAGGGGGTGAGAGGGGTGAGGACCTGTCCAGAATCCCTCACTACCTGAGTCTTTCCGTGACTGTGTAGTTCTCCTCTCTGGATTGAAGCTGGAGCTCTGAAAGCCTCATACAGAGGCTGGGAATATTATGGGATGTGCACAGGTGATGCTTAGCAACAATGTCCTAACCTTGAATAGCAGCGACTGAGCAAGTGCCATGCATTCCAGACCCTGGGCTGAGCAACTTTGTCCCCTTCATTAAAAGTGAGACCAGGCTGGTCTTGAACACACGAACCCCCGCCTCAGCCTGTGCCACCCCACCTGGCTAAACGCATCAAGAGTTTACTCAGATGAGATTTATCCTGAGGGCCCTGCTCTGGAAATAGCCAGATGGTTTTACAGCAGTGAGAGAGAGCCAAGGGTCTGCTCATCTCTCCTGTTTTTTATTCCAAGATTAATCCTTACTTTCCATGTGAGTGTGGCACCTGTGGGCAGCGAGTTCCTCTCTGATTCTCACTGTCCTCCATCGGGGTCACTTTACAAACCAGAAGGAAAAGTAGATGTGGTGGGGGGTTCCCCGAGCCCAGCCTGGACAGAGACTGTTCTGATACAAAGTCCATTTGCAGCCTGAATGTGCTAACAGACAGATTTCCACTCTAAATCTCCGTCAGGCAGACAAAAGACACAGTGTTGGCTGCCCCTGCCGGAGGCCCTAGACAACGCCAGGGTGTCCATAGCCGCAAAGGCCACAAAGGCGACTGTCTACCCTCTCACCCCTGGCTGTGCTCAGCCTGTGGCCCTCTGGACCCTAGAGCAGGGAGGAAGACAATCGCCCAGCGTGTCCCCTGACCTTGACGGGACTTTGCACAGCCTCATGTTGCCCCTCTGTCCTCCAAAGCCAAACATCAGGCAGATGTGGGCTCACGTCACAACACAGACTGAGGCATGAGGGTCGTCAGTTCAAGGTCAGCCTGACACAAAATGTCTGGAGACAACATAAAGGCACAGTGACCTGGAATACACAGCCACAAAGAAGATAAAGTGTGGGGGACCAGGTTCTGGCTAGAGACCCCCCCACAAAGACCACGCTGTGTGGAATCCATGACAGCATGGGGTGATGGTTCATGGTGGTGGCAGTCACATTTGACATAACAGAAAGCTCAAGAATCGGAAGGAAAGCCTGTATCTATGGAGGCTAAACAAGGAGATGACATTGTAGCTGTGCAGCACTCGGGAGGCAGAGACAGGCGGATCTCTGTGAGTTCGAGGCCAGCCTGGTCTACAGAGGGGGTTCCAGGACTCAAAAACTCAAAAAAAGATTCTAAGAAAGATCCTCCTCTGCCTGACCCTGAGGACCAGCTGCATGGAGGCTTTCTTTAAACTTACCATTTTGTCTTTGGGGAAATTTCATAGAATTAGTCCAAGTAGATAATAAAGGTATACAAATGTTCTGGAAGGAGTGTTTGCTTTGCATCAGACCTGAGGACAGGCATGTGGAATGTATAGGGGGCGTGGTCGGGTGGGACCCCTGCCTAGAATCCCCAGTGAGGGACTGGGGACGTGGTGGGGGGGATGCCTTGAGTCTGGTGTCAGCCTCTCTCACCCAGCCTCTCTCACCCTTCCTCTCTGTGGCCTGGAGACCTTGCGGCCATATTGACCACCATTTTATTCCGTGGCCAACAGCACAGGAATGATTAGTTTTCTGTAAGATTTGTTTCAAACAATTAGTCCCCACATATCAGCCTCTGCAGTGAGGGAGGAGGCAGATAAATCCTGGCCGGCCTCACTTAGTCTTTTAAAGGCAATTAACTCCTCGTTATTAGCCTTTAATTAGGGTGATTATGTCCTCATCAATACACATTATTATAGTTGTTAGCAGACAGCTGTTGAGGCAGACCGCATATCAGATGTCCCCACTGTCCCCCGTGGGGTCTAGTTACCTCCTTCACCACATGCCACAGCAGCCTGGCCCCGAGGGAATCCGCCTCCCCTCCCTGTGGTGCAGTGATGTGGGTTCTGGGTGTGACGTCACGGGTGAAGGCAACTGTGGAAGTTTCCTTTACAAAAGCTCCACTTCACAGCTGTGGGGGACACAGCAGGCTGAGGCAGGAGGATCAGGAATTCCAGTCAGCAAGACTGTATCACAAAGAAGTAAGGGCCCTAAGCCCAGGAGGTCACATGGGTGTAGCAGCCCTCACGGACAAGCCCTGCTGATTTTGGGTCTCTTCACATCAGCCATCACAAGGAAAGAAATACGACATCCCAAAATACTCCCAGAAGCTCGACGTGGCTGTTGTCACTAAGTCAATGATCAGAAAGTTGTGGCTCCCGGTAGACTATCCCACAATCAGACAAGAGGAACAGGCCAGAAACACGCTGGGTGGTGTCCCAGCCCTTCAAAGGGACAAAGGCCTTGAATGACCAGCCTGAAGAGCCAGGAAGCAGTGATGGTGGAAAAAAGGTTCTGCTGATGTTTTCTTGTCGGGATATATGTGTCGGTTAGGACGCCGCTGAAAAATTTAAGACAAGGAGAAGAAGGTACTAAATGTGAGACAAGGGTAATTAGGGACCATAAAAATGTGCAACATTAACGGAAGAGTTCACAACCTTACACTGTAGGAAGAATGACTGCAGGGAATTGGTCACCGAACGGTGGGTAACAAATCATTTCCAAGACTGGTGCTTCTAACTCGTATGGAGACTTCACCTAAGCTTCAGACTTATGTGGAGACGTCATCACCTCGCTTCAGACTTGTGTGGAGACGTCACCTCAGTTTCTGAGCTTCAGAGCAAGGGGTGTGAGGGTCATAGCCTCATGATTTCTACACAGGATTCCATATCTGAGGGAGTGACTCGCTGGTGAAATCCCTACCCAAAATCCCCCAGTGAGGGGCTGGGGGCATGGTCAGGGTAAAAGGATGGCTAATAGGATTAAACTCCTAATGACTAACGATGTTGTCTAGGTTCCTGGACTTGGCTTTCCTACTGCAAATATCAACCAGCATAGTAAGTTAGCCCTTTTCAGGGTGGCTGGAACATCAGGCCTGGACAGGCATTCTGCAGGGCAGGATGCTAGGGTTTCTGGGTGCTTGGGAAAGGGGTTACTGATATCAGCTACTTGGGGCATTTCCTGTCAGGCAGATGTTTGCAAGGTCTGGTGATCACCGCTGCACCTCCACGGCCCCGGACACACAAGGCCCTCACAGCCTTCACCTTCACTGTGCGCATGTTTCAGAATGTGGTCCAGGTGCTGTGAGTGTGGGCTCTGAGCACAGCTATCATGGGGTCGAATCCCAGCTCTGCCTTTACCCTGTCTGCAACCTTAGGCAGCTTAACAGCCATCTCTGTGTCCACGAATCCTCTCAAAGTGCAACGGACTTCTCAGGCTGAGGGCCCGGCCCCAGGGAAGGACGCAGCCTGAGCACTCACTGCCCCACCAGGGACCTGGAGGGGACGGTAACTGTTTTGTCTGCCGTGTGACCAGACCCATGGCCCAGGCAGACTATGACAGAGTTTACTGCCGATCATGGTTACAAGGGTGAATCCATGACCATCGTGTGGGAATATGACAGCAGGCAGGGTGGTTCTGGAGCAGCTGCTGAGAGCTTACTCGTTCACAACAGGAGGCAGAGAGAGCGAGGCAGAGAGTGAGAGCGAGAGACAGAGACAGAGACAGAGAGAGAGAGAGAGAGAGAGAGAGAGAGAAATGTTGCCTGGCATGGGGCTTTTGAATCCTCATCCAGCAAGGCCATGCCTCTGAATCCTTCCCGAGCAGTTTCAAACACAGTAAGCTTTAAAAATATATGAACCGGGCCCTGGAGAGATGGATGGCTCAGCAGTTAAGAGCACTGACTGTTTTTCCAGAGGACCTGGGTTCCATTCCCGGCAACCACATGGCAGCTCAACTGTCTGTAACTCCAAGATCTGACACTGCACACAGACATACATGCAGGGAAAACACCAGCATACATAAAATAAAATGTTATTTAAATATATGAATATGAGCCAATGGGGTCATTCTTCTAAACCATACTTAGCTGTTGTTAAGGACAGGAGCAGTGGAGGGAGCGTTCTTGGAGGGGGAGCCTGGACGGAGCCTGGTTAGCCCTGGGAAAGCGAAGGCATCCGGGTTTAAGGGGCACAGGTACAGAGGTGCTAAAAGGAGTGTTCGGAGCACAGCAAGCATGGGCACCGCTGAGTCGGGCTCCGAGTGGCTGTGCAGACTTTGGACACTGCAGGGAACTACTCTTCCCACAGGACTCCTCGGCAGCCACAGGAATAGAGGTCCAGGAGTCTGTGGACTCTAAAGCTGTCGCTGCCTGATCATACCCATGAACGCACGTGTCCGTGGACTCTGAAGCTGTCATTTCCCGTTTATATCCACGAACCCGTGTGTCCGTGGACTCTGAAGCTGTCATTGCCCGTTTATACCCATGCTCGTGTCCGTGGACTCTGAAGCCGTCACTGCCTGTTCATACCCACGCATGCATGTGTCCGTGGACTCCTGATCACTCCTTCACTGTGTTTGTCACGT